AAGTAAGGACTGAGCATCTTGACTGCTGGTTAGATTCCAAGTTGAGTCTCCAGGGCCGTTTCTGTTCATTGAAATGTCTTCAAATATCTTGAAGTTGATCTTTAGCTTTTAGGAGGTCCATAGCTTTCTGTTGCAGCTTCACTGTGAGAGGCCTAGTTAGTCCCAACATATGTCTGACAATAACAAGAGAAACAATAAAGGAAAAGTTGATTGCATTAGGTAGGGACTGAGCATCTTGTCTGCTGGTTGGATTCCAAGTTGAGTCTCCAGGGCTGTTTCTGTTCATTGAAATGTCTTCAAATTTAGCTGTGACTGGGTAGAGAAGCTCACCTATTCTGTCCATTCCATCAATCCGTTCAATCCATCTTGTGCGGCACACATCAATCAAAGCAGTGTGATTTGCTCGAGGCAATAGTTCTCTGATCTTGGCTACTAAATGTTGTTGTCGTTTGGGAGAGTTGTTAAAAATATCAGAAATCTTACGCACAATATCCATCATGTTCCTGACAATTGGCAGTCAATTGGCAGGTGTTAGCGATGCACAAATGAAGCCTGTGGTTCATGCAGTGGACATAGATTGCCTTTTCATGTTCTGCCCTGATGAATGAGGAAGCCCCTTTTAGTCATCCAGCCATATTGCCTGCACCATCATAACACTGGCCATGACAGTCCTCCATTGTCAATCCTAAGTCTCCTACAGCTGGAATTATAATGTCTCTAATGGCCTCTCCTGTTGTTCCCTCCTCACAAAGGTAATAGCCAATAAATTCTTCTCTGATTGTCTTAGTTGCGTCCAGAAGTCTAATTACTACAGAAAGGTTTTCCTTATTTGAAATGTCAGCTGCTTCATCTGCCATAACCGAAAAATATTTACTATTCCTCATTTCCTGTGATAAACTATTCAATATATGAGCACCGACAGTTGTTATCATCTCATTCTGGATAGTTTGTGAAATATATGTGGCATTTCTAGGTGCAGTGTCCAGGTGCTGCTTCAGTGTTTGGTCACCACTGTCTACCCGAAATTCTAGCAGTGCCTGGAAACTACCGGTCAGGGTAGCATTAGTGGGGTCATCATCCCTACGCCCCCTGAGTGGAATGTTGTTTTTCCCACATAAAATGCGATCGGGTTGGAGACCGACCACAAGCCTCTGGAGCGTATCTACTCTAGTACTTCGAGACCTTGCGCCAGGATAGAGAGATGGGTCTTAAGGCTAAAAGGGTACGATTTTAAAGTAGTGTACCGGCCCGGAAAGACTAACATAACAGACGCGTTGTCCCGCTTGAACTCGGATCACATGGACCATGGTGAGGAGTATGACTATGTTAGAGCAATTGTTGAGGACTGTATACCCATTTCTCTATCACCTAGAGAGATTGAGGAAGCTTCCTATGATGACTAGGAATTGACCCAGGTGGGGAAGTGTGTTAAGACAGGTCACTGGGACCAGTGTATACTTCCCTCTTATGCACAGGTCAAGGACGAATTATGTCTGTATGGTGAACTCTTGCTTCAGGGCACAAGGATTGTGGTTCCCAGGTTCTTGCGCGACAGGATGGTGCGGTTAGCACACGAAGGGCACCAGGGTATAGTGAAAACGAAGTATCGTTTCCGCAGTAAACTTTGGTGGCCAAGAACGGACAAAGACGTTGAGAAGTTGGGAAGGGCAAGAGCGAGATTGGTCTAGTAAATTAAAGGGAAAAGCTTACGCTGACCTGGTCTAGTAATTGGTCTAGTAAATTAAAGGGAAAAGCTTACGCTGACCTTAAGAGAGGTGCCACGCCCAAAAGCATAGGTTTTGGCGACCCAGTTCTTGTGAAAGCAGAGAAAACCAACAAGATGTCTACCAACTTTAAGCCTGATCCCTTTAAGGTTGTTCATAAGACGGGGTCAAAGATAACGGTTAGGAACGAGACTGGCATCGAACTGAAAAGAAACACTGTGTTTCTAAAGAAGTATAACGAGCACGGAGACCAAGTGGTACAGGCAGGTTCTGCAGTACGGGTGGATGACCCAGGGGCGAGCAAAATCTCGGAGACGACAGTCGTACCGATGCCAAAAGAGATTCCTGGAACGTCTGAAGATTCTCAAGAACAACCTAGGCATTTCCCAGACAATGAAAATACCGGAGTGGGAAGGCCTGTTCGGAGGTCGATCCGGACTATAAGACCACCCGATCGTTATAAAGCCATATAAACTGAATATGAACTGAATATGATATGAACTGAATATCTTGAACTTCTTGTCCTTTTATCGAGCGACTGGTTTAATTTAAAGGCTTCGATTTGTATGTTGAACATTTAGGAAAGGAGGGAATGTAGTGTATAGGATGCCAACGAGCATGTAATATGCATGATGTAATGAAGTGAAGAAGATCGTTGACTAAAGCACTATTTCTTTTAGCTCTAGTGCCGTACAGGCTTGAGGTATTTATGTCAGTGCATGGCTATGCTAAAGTTGCAGAGTTTTGGCTGCTTAAGCTTCAGGAGAATGGTAAAAACCGACGAAATAATGATGAAGTGCAGAAGGTTCGTAGCTTTGATTCCCTATTAGCTGACCTGCTTCTTTTTGATCAGTAGTTTTTTTTACCAAAAACATCATTAAGTTTTAAGCTTAAAAAACTATTGTTTGATTCTTTTTTTTTGTGAAGGTACAATAGGGCTTCCTCATTTACCAACCCATCTATTTTACCCAGGATCTTCTCTTAATCCATAGACAGCAAATCAAAACCTCCGCAGTTCTGGAAGAGATTTTTTGTTTTAGGACGTTATTTGTTATAATGACATCAGTTTTTTTTTGTCAGAGATACGATTTTTGCCAGGTGCAATATGTGTTCATGATTACATCTCGCTTCCCTTCCCAATTTGTCCTGAAACACAAATATAAGGAAAGAATCAGGGACGATCCAGGTATCCCAGAAAAATAGCCCGCAAAATCTAAGAATTAGTAGGAAAATTGAAACATCAAGCCTTCTGAACTAGAATTGCAACTTTTTACACTTGTATCAAGGAAAGTAGTTGAATTTTACTCATTTGAAGTGCAAGATACTGGAGGTGGCTATGCGGAAATTTTAAAAACAAACAATATCAAACAAGAGTGCCTTTTTCGAGCACTCCTTACGCTTATGCGAAGTCCTCGCATACTCATAGTATACCCGTTTTAATTTTTGTCGTTTTGCATCTGACGATCATCTCATTTCTAGTGCCTGCGGAAATTAAAGAATGCTCTTAACTACCACCCAGTGTTTGATGGTCGAAGACTTCACCTATTAGCTTACTACTATCTCCTTCGGGGAAAAAAGGACAAGTGCAAAGCAAAGCTTCGCAAGTGCTGTAACAAGAGTAAGAATCTTGGTCTGTGGCTTGAGGTCGAATGGGCTAACAAGAGTTTTAAGGAATGGTTCATCGGCTGGAAGGATACGGAGGCAACCTATCAGGGGACATCCATGTTCACTTTGCCAAAACCAAAAGAAGATTGATTGTTTTACCTTTTACATGGCGTTTTCCATGACTTTCAATATCGTTATAATACAAAAACATTTGATTTCACATTTCATTCAACTTCACAAGAAAAACGATGAAATTGACTTTTTAAGAGTTCATAAAAAAGGAAAAGTATGACTAGGACTTTATGCAAATACAACTCTTTTACATTTGCAACTCCTTTGTGAACAAAAGTCGCTATTTTTATCGATTTTCGATCAATGTCATCGAATGAAAGTGTCAAGGTGCAAGAACTTTCTTCATTTCTATCGAAACTAAGTACTACAAATAAATAAAAAAGTATTTACAAACTCAGTTGTTGACAAACTTTTATCATAGGACCACTACAAAAATCATGTTGTTTGCCTGGTACTATCGCTGTTAAAGAAACTTTTTAGTCTTTATATTTTACAAAAAGATGTATGCAATTTTTGAATCGTTGATAGAAGATAAATAATTAATGCTTTCTTAATGTTGTTCATGTTATCAAACTGACAATCGTAATAGGCTTTTAAATTTACATGTCGTTATCTTAAGGGTTGTTCTTATTGCAACACATCCTCGAAGAACTGAGGACAAATAGTCAGGCAGGAGAAAAAGAAACCATCTGCCAAAATGCTATTTTTTCGCGGCAATCATTTGCATTATCTGTGAAGTGAGCTTACTTGTCAAGACGATTACGCCGAAAGCCAAGAGAGACCGGATCGAAACGCTGGTTTTGTAAGAGACAGAAAAATGAGCCTTATATAGCGTGGTCAGCGTACTAACATTGTGGGCGCTTTTACCACCAAGCACATGGTTTTAATAGTGTTGTGTTGTAATCGTTTTCTCAAGGACGAGTTCGCTTGTTGTTAAAGCACAATAACTTCGAATCCTCTCATTTCTACGAGTCTCTAATGAGATGAATACAAGTTTGTGCAAGTTAGGAAGCAATGCTGAATTAAAGGTTTATTATTACAAGTAGCTAAGAGTGGACGCTACAGTTTTATTTTCCGCATTCCTGATATTTTTTTACCCCTGGCCTTTTATTTAAGAATAGCATTTATAGAGTTTTCTGGATTTTTCGATAACAGCAGGTGATCTTCACAGAGCTAGAAGGCAACTCTCCTTTTTGCTGGCCTATATAAACTAATTTGGAGCTCATCAAAATTGATGTTGCTGGTCAGTCAGCGCCACAGAGTCCGTGGAGGACTGACGCCTATCTTGGACGATGCTATCAGAACCATAATCCTCATCTGGAGATTCATCCAAAGTGCTGTTAAATGAAGGTATGCTGTAATATGCACTTGTTTCAACCACGGCACTGAGATCCAAATAAGGGTTGCCCTTTTGCATCACAACCTCAAATCTTGAGCAATATCTCACTTTTTTAAAGGATCTTTCTTCAAACCCTCAAAAGAAGGTTTTGCTTATGATATTCGATTTAATCAGAGAAGCTATGTCAAAGTGTCAGAGATAATCCAGCGTGCAAAATGTGTCTTTTCGGGTTGGTCTACTATTCAAAATAGTTCTTAAGTGTTTCCTTCCAATGGACGAGAGACTTTTGTTTTCTTTTTTCTAAAGAATAGGCATTTATTTTCGTTTAATGAACTATATTTTACACAGTAGAATGGCTTTTACCCCGGATGAGTCCTTCAGCCTTCAAACGCCTTTGTCTGTCTCTGCGACACCAGATAATTAGACAAAGTGCAATTAAAATAGACAGCAACGAACCAAAGACTAGTGCAATTATTTCACCTGGTGCCATTGGGTAATGGGCCTGAGGGCCTGATGTAGAGTGAAAAAGCGATATTAGTGTGATAAAGGAAAATGACTTGCGCATCTCGATAACCTCATCGGAAAATAGTTCTAACAGATCTGTTTGGTTATCAGAGAACGGCACAGTTTTATTTTCTTATTCGCCATTTTAGTTTTGTTACGATATTACTTAGCCAACAGGAGAAACACTATACTCCTCCAAACCCAACTACTATATCAAGCAGCTCGTAATAATCTATCTTAGGAGCGATTCCTAAAGACAGTTTAGTGATTATCCTTACTAATAAACTTATTTAGCTCAGTTTATTCTACATCTCAGCTCACCACTGACACAATCTCAGAGCTGTCTCCAAATGTTCTCAGAATGAGCAATTTTTCATAATAGCTTTCTCTTTCGGTATAGCTTTCCAAACAGTCGGTCACTCCCGACAACAGAAAATCACAACTGCTACGCGACGGAGAGCAGCAGGCTCACAAATACTTGGCGACCGAGATCTTACGTACCTTTACAAACTACTTTTTGGAACATTGCCCAATTAAGCTTACAACTCAACTCTTTTGGTCGTATCACATCGTAACTACGTGACCTGATAGAACGTGCTAGAAAGGTCCATGGTATGCATGTAAGCATGCCATGGCATTCTAGAAATTTCTAGCAATTTCGATTCTATTCCAGTTATTATTCATAACAATGGGCAATCTATAAAATAATTATAGTTAAATCCAACCATATCGCTTTTTTTTTATTTTGGGGCTTAGCCTTACGATGTTGGCCACGAAGAAGCATCTATTGTGTCACATGTTTGACGCCATTGGGTAATCAATAACGTAAGAGGTGAGTTCCAGAGGAACTATGGTATTTTTATCTTACCAGGTGAAGAAGTTCTGAGGATCGCTATCCTGTCTTCTTGTCCCATGATATTGAGCACTTCAAAAACTGGAAAAATCTGTTTACCACAAATGAGGAAAACGATGAATAGCGAAGGAGTTATTGTTTGAAGGAAAAATGAGATAAATAAGTTGGAAGGCTTGGACCAAAGCAGAGGTCTTAATCTACTGTTTTCCGAAATTGCATTTTTCGAAATTGAAATAAGTGATAGCGTAAGCCTTGGTAACTTAACAGACCCGTAAAGCTGTTATGTTTTCATTCAAGATGGGAATCTCAAAATTTTTGAAAATAATACAATAAAACTATCAACCAAAGAAACAAACTGCACTAACTGGGATGCTAGAACTTGCTTTCCTACCCTTTAAATTTTGATTTTAATATAAAACATGGCTTCAAGCCTGTTAAGTTGCTGGGACTTTCGAGAAAAGGTCTCAGATCCGGGAATCAAACTTGGGCTGCAGTGGTGTTAGGCAAGCACTTTACCAGTGTGTCATCCTTGCACTTCTGTTATTGTTGAAAAAATACGATCGATTGTTAGATTAAATGCTTCTTATGGACTATTCTTATTGTTTTGGTCGAACTATCTTGATTTTTGTTTTGTCTGCTTATTATCCAGTCTTTACAGATAAATCTCCTAAATTTAAGGTCAAAAACTACCCTAAATTCAAATTTTTCATCCCCATGGATTCCGTCGATCGTGACGTTACTAGATCCCTGTAATAATCAAGTAGATTGCTATTTAGCGACGGCGAATTGTCGGCAACCATAACTTTGCTCTTCATTTTGAAATATCTGTTACACCTGCATGATATTGGTTTAAAAGATAACAAAAAATGCAGGCACATTTGGCAAAGATGTACTACCAACGTAAGTAGATAAATGGATCTGTGAATTCCATAAATTATTGTATATAAAACGAGTGTATAGATGAATAAAGAACAAATGAGCAGTTTCAGGAACTTCACTGATCGTGGTAAGGTCGGTGTTGAGGTCAATAGCTCTCCTCTTTTTCTGCCCAACTGTCTCCGATGAGGTATTACTTATCCTGTATCTGTAATATTGAACTAAACTGTGGTTGAACAGCGGTTTCTGCCATAAGACTGTCGTGCGGAATGATTCACCAGAGCCGGGCACCAGTCCATAAAGTCTCAGTCCAACAACTTTCACCAGATCTGCTCTTGGTCCTGGATATATTCAAACGACGAATTGCCGATTGTNCAACTTATTGATCGACATTCAGCACTACAAACGTCGCATAAGGAAGATTCCGACCGCATTCCATTCACTCTCACGTTTCACCCTCACAACCACTCAGTTAAATCCATCATTCTTAAAAACTTTAAATTACTTCAAAACGATCCAGAGACAAGCACTATCTTTTCGCAGCCTCCGCTCATTTCATTCAAACGCGACAAAAACATAGGCAATTTTTTGGTCAGAAGTTCTTTTCAGACTAATGACCAACCAGGCACTTTTAAATGCGCTCGTGCACGATGCAAAACGTGTCCTTTCATTCACAACACTGATAAAATATCGGGACCTAAACGATCCATTAAGATCACCGATCACTTCACGTGCACCTCCGCCAATGTAATCTATTGCATAACTTGCACTTATTGCAAAAAGATATACATCGGCGAAACAGGCAGAAGACTAGGTGACCGATTCCGAGAACACCTTCGAGACGTGGAAAGGAATGACAAGGACACATCGAAACCAGTCGCTAGACATTTTAATTTACCTAATCATTCTAAGCAACATATGGCAATCTGCGGTCTTTCCTTACACTTAGGTAGCACGGAAAGCCGTAAAACTCTTGAACAAAAGCTCATCTTTCAAACCGGCAGTCTAAATCCCACAGGGATCAACGAACGCTTTTCATTCCACTAATTTATTCGTGTTTTTCTCGTTGCCATGTTCCCACCAATAACGTAGCTCCATTTTCTGCCTTTAAAAGCACACACAACCCACAATTCCTCTGTTCGCTCCGACGAAGAGCTAACGCTCGAAACGTAAGCTTTTTTAATCGTTACGGTGGCCAGTTTACCATTTCAACTTTGTTGATATATCCAAATTACTCTAGAAATAGCTTTTTCACAAATTTAAATTAAAATGTTTGCCATTCTCATTCTCCTAGGGTGTAACTCAACAAATAAATCTATTATGCGGTCTAAATCAAAATCCCGCGATGTCTCTGTGAGCATGCATCAGTGCCAGTCCATTAAGTCTGTCCTGGGTCATAGTATTTCTTAAATAGTTCTTAAGATTCCGAAGGGATGGTGTGGATCTCTCACAAGATGCAGATGAAATTGGGATAGTGATCAGGACTTTCAATATGGAATAGATATGGACATATGCATCTTTGTCAATATCCTCCAGTGTAGCCTCCAGACTGTCAGGAATTACATCGCCTCTGTGATCCCTTCCCTTCCATAACAAAAAGCTCTTCCCCTCCATAACAAAAGCTCTGCCTCTAAACCTGCATAATTTGGCATGTCCTGCCTGTAATGGTTACAAAATTCCAATACATTAGCCTTCCATCAGGGTCAGTAGCCAGTAAAATAGAGGGAACAATTGAAATACCTTTGTAGCAAACAAACACAGCATCCTGGAATCTGGTGTTGAGCTGCTGGACTCTGGTCAAGAAAAACTCTAGTATCATTGAACT